TTTCCTGATCCCTAATGATTAATCCCAAATTTGTATCCGCATCCCAGACCTCTGTCTTGAGCTCCAGACTTTTAGGTTGAAATGCTTTCAGGATATCTATAGTTAAATAGTTCACAGGCACCTAAAAATTAAAACTCCTAAAGCAGAGTGAACTAACTTCTCCCATTTCCTTTTTTCCCACATCTCTTCTTCCTTGTCTCAACCTAAACCAAGGAACTATGTGACCATCCACTTAGCTGCCCATGTTGAAATCCTGGGCATCTTCTCTTTCCCTCACTCATACATATAATTGATCCCTAAATCCTGCTTTCTTTTTCACCACCTAAAACCCCTTACAGCCACCTGTTTTTCTCCATCCTGTTGCTGTTGTCCTCAAGTTGGTCACCAACATTTCCTGGGTAGATCTGTGAATAGCTTCCTAACTCATCTCTCCTCTCCCTCACCTCTGGTTGGTCTTCCTGCATATCCACTTTCAAAGGCAGTCAGGATGACGTTTCAAACAGGCTAATATGATCTTGACATGTCTTTATTGATGACCTTTCTCTAGCTTTGCTGTGTCCTGGGGTTGATTCCAGTGTCTCTAACATGGCTTATAAGACCCTTCATGATTGGGACCCTATTCATCTCGAATCTTCTCCTCATGTTCTACTCTTAAATTTATGTTCACTGATAATGAATTCTTTCTGTTTCTCTCAGTTTCACACTTTGCTCTTTCTTTTAGGCCTTCACAGATGCTGTTCTTCTTCTCTGGAATATTTTTCCTGACCCCTTTCCCTTTATACCCTCATCCCCACCTTTCCCCCCACATTTTATCGAATCATTCCTATTCAGCCTGTAGACCTAATTTAGCTGTGATTTCTCTGTCAGGACTTCCCAGATCTTCCTTCTGCGGCTTCCCTGTCTCCTCCTCCAGTGGGTTAGTGTCCCTGCTGAGAATCTCATTGCATTTTATCATCCTGAATTGGAATTTCTGAATTGTGTGTCTTACCCACTCAACTCTAAATATAATGTTTATTCATGTAGAGGTTGTGGTGCCTTATTTTTTGACAACTTGTGGCCACATAAGAGAGATTCTGGAATTACTAATTACTTGGGAAAATACATGAAAACTATAATGTAAATAACGTAAAACTGGTAGACAGTCAATAAATATGTAATTTATGTACTTGTGATTAAATAGTGTTTTTCACTGTCATAACCTATTCTCCTATAGGTATTTTGTCTATTCTGTTGACAGGGAAAGTATAATTATTTGTTTTGTTAATAAGTATTGGGCTGCGTTGGACAGATTATGAGAAATATTAAATTTTACAGTGTTATTTTATTTTTCTGTATGTTTGATTATATCTTCCTTTCCTTGAGAGGAATTCTGAGCATAGAATTATAGGTATTTGCCTGAGAATCTGTGATGTATTCAGTTTAGCATCCCAAATGAATGCAAAATTGATTAGTTTTTGAATGTGCTAAGTCATTTTGCCTGCTTTTTATTTTTGCATTATTAAGTTGTCATTGCCTGTTCTCTTTTGCCCTTTTACTCTGCACATCCAAATGTTCAGTCCTAAAATTATACCATGCCATCATCAAATGTCCAGCACCAGATCCTTATTAGGAGAATAACAGATTCGCTGGAGATTAGAAGGGGTCAGTATGCCCTTTTGGCGTGACTCTCATACACTGTACTCTACTTTGGTAGAAAAACAAAATCATTAAAATAACGTCACACGTGAATACTCATTAAACCATGTTATAAACTTTCAGTTCATTTCACCAAGTCTGGGATTCAGTTTATTTGTTCATCAGGTTATGCAGATAAAAGTGGCAAATAATTTTGGGGTGTTTAAAGAAATAACCTATAGTTAGGTGCTCCTAATTTTAGCTTAGGAGAAAAATCAATAGAAAAGTAAATGTGGTCAAGTGTAACTGAACAATATTGGTGTCAGCCCTGACCACAAATACAGCACATTTAGAAGTGTTCTAAGCATAGCCAAGCCAATTATTGTGTCAGCCCTAACTCTGGAGCTACAAGGAGAAAAAGAAGTATCGGTCACAAGGAAAGAGAATTGGATCCAGGCATATGGATGTCTTACAGGTATTTAATGTTCCACAGAAAAAATAACCTAAGAGACTATTACCAAGAGATTAAAGCTTTAAATTTAATAGATCTGTTGGCTTCCACCCCCCAATTTGAGTCAATGGTTAGGTTATTGATGTCATTCATTCATTTATTCACACATCAAACTTTTATTCACCTAGTGTGTGGCAGTAACTGTGCTGCTGGGGCTCCAGACATCAATAGCACACAATCCATGACATCAAGCGGGAAGAACTAAAGGCAGAAGCTGTGGGTGCTCTATGTGCACCTATGCTTCTCTCTGAGGAAATTTAGGTCATGCTCCCTGGCCTCCACTTGAAGTGACCCTCTACCCTGGTCCCTCTCCCTGAATCCCTGTGGAAATGGTAGAGGAATACTCAAGGCAACTGTAGCTGCCCCAGTTTGGATGCTTCCTGTTAAAATATTCAGAGGATTCCATGTCTGGCTCAGGGTTATTTTCCCCAAATAAATATTCTAAGTAAATGTAGGTTTCCATTGATCTTTTACTTAATTTAGAAAGAAGCTTCATTTGTGCATTACATCTGTTGCTATGTAATGTCAAGGATTACTATCATTATGATTGGTGCCATCTGCAATAAATGCAGAGGGAGAAGCATATAACAGGGCTGAAGATTTAGAGCCTCCCTCCCAGTGGACACGAGCTTATGTTAGGACATACCTCTAAATTGGTACAACTCACATGCCAAGAGGATAGATTTCTCTGTGCCTTTTAAATTTTGTTTTGTTCCTTAAAGGTTTTTTTCCTTTTTTCCCCCTGGGGATAGAAATATGTTTTTTCCAATTTTACAGGCAAACCACTTCAATAGAACATGGCTGGCGGCCATATGGACATATATGAATCCAACAATTAATTCAGCAAAGAAAGCTGCTTGTGGCAAGTTTTGAATATGCCATTCCAGGTAGTGCTTTGATGATAAATGAGGAGAAGATTGCAAAGAAAATGACAGCAACATTTATAAAAAGATAAGTTTCCTTTATTCATTTAATGATATTCAAATTATTAGTTGTCATCTATTTAATGTGAAGTCTATGGCACTTGAAGGAGGTACTTAACACTTTTTATGTATAATTTTATGGCAAAAATATGGTGTTAATTTTCAAGGCGCTTACAATCTAGTAAACTTTGGAATGAGTGCATGTATGACCCTTATCTGAAACTCCTAAGTCTAGACTTTTGGCTGGCATGGCTTCCAGAACTGGCTTTATGATGGTATTTCAGAACCAGTACTTCCAGCCAAAACCAATAAGTGTGGAGTGGCTCAAAGACGGAAATTACCAAACCAAACCAAAACAGAAACCCCTCAAAACAGAAAAACAAGCTTACGTTAACGAAACACATTAGAATCTCATAAAGGTTTGTGAGAAATATCTGGGAAACCACTCATTGTTTTTGTTTCATTTCACCAGGTTTTGTCTCAAGGTTGTCCTATCCCTGGATGATCCCTTCAGCTCTAACATTTGCAGAATCAAAGCTTTAGCTTCCAGTCATCACTCTTCACATGCAGGGAGCACACATGGTGTGTGGTTAGGATCCTCTCCCTTTAGATAAAAGGGGGATAAAAGTAGTAGATAAAAGGGGAAATAAAAGTATCAGCATATTATGTGGGCTTCATGTGCATTTTACTGAAAGATAACTGTTTAACCTCCGTCCAGGGAAATGAAATACTCCATAGCTATCTACAGACCTGAGAAATACACATTAACAATTCTGTGAACACTGCATCAAATATTTCCTCTGAAGAAATCTACAGCAGCTTATTTTTGTCTAATTTTATCAGCTACTTTCGGTAATTTTACCACTTAAACACTTAGATATTTATTGCATGTACAATAAAAATATCAATTGGTTGAGTTTCTGAACTGAAACATGTGGTCAGATACCCAAATTATAATTTAATTGAAATTAATAAGACATTGCAAATATGGTGACAGTTGCAGAACTATCCACAGTATCCCAAAGGGTCTGACTTCTGGAGGGAGATATAAACTCCCTCCAGAATATTTTATTGGGGTAATGTTTATATCTCCCTGAAGGAGTAGAACCTATTGGGATATTGTGTTTATATTTTCGGTTTCAGCCACTATCACCCCAATATGCACACTGCATTTCACTTAGATGAAGCATAAAGGATTTCTTCGCCATTCCTTTCATGGAATGAAAATAGAATTATTGAATATGACTTTTAAAAATTACTAAAACGTATAAAATAATGGCACTACATATTTCCACATTTAAAGTGTGACAGCGAACTGCAGCCAGTACTGTTGTGCAATTATGAGGATAGACAGCAAAGAACTGAAATGCTGCCCGGCGTTGTTTCTTTTGGAAAGCTTTATGTATACACTAGGAATGCAAAGAAATACAAATCCTGGGAAAGGGTTAAGTGATGGGACCATCAGCTCTGCAAGGTTGTTGTGCATGAATCTCTTGACTTCCAAACAGTTTGGTTGGGTATGGCTCTTTCAATGTGTAGAAGTCGTGACACAATGCAGGAAGTTTATTGAAACCTTTGTACTGCTATATTTAGCCTGGCATCCAGTGTTCTAGGCTAGTTACAAGACAATATGATCTCCTTATAGAATACCAAAATGAACTATTTACACTGAAGGAAAGTAGTTTAGGAATGCTTCAGAGAAAAATTAAATATGGGGTAAATATTATCTTCATTCCTTTGCAAAAATCTGTTTTATACTAGTTATTTCATTTTACTTTGAATTTGGATTAAGCTTAGGGGAAAATAGTTAGATTTTATATTCCAAACATAATTAATTGTTATGGTTACAATAGAATGATAATCACAAGGGGAAGAATTTGCAATACGGAAGAAAATCACCCAGCATTATGTAGCCTTAATCAGATTTAAAAGACATCCAAATTTAGGCTTACCTTTTGATTTGTTGCTTTGAGCAAAACCCCTTAATCCCTTTATGGGTACTTTTTGTCACGTATAAAATGGAGCAGGTAATAATTACAATCTGCTTTTGAGGCTCCTGGAAAGATGAATAAAATGAAAAGTAGGAAAATCAATCTTTGTTATTATTATGTTTGAGAGGCTGGCAGAACAGTGTGATTCCAACATGACGTCTAATTACAGCCAAAATTCTTTAGGAGGCAGTAGCTAATTTTGCACATCTTTTTAAATTGCCACATTTTCATGGGAACATACATGGCAACTGATTAGAAGCCGAGATTTTAAAGGTATGAAGAAACATTACCTTTCACATACCATCAGCATGATCTGTCAAAAATGCAGTTTGCCATTTTACTTCAGTGTTAAAAATTGCTCAGTGATTTCTCCACTGAATTCAAGACGAGCATAATATGCACAGTATTGCATAATGCAGTGTTGATCAACTTTTTTCAGTTTCAGCCGCCATCATCCCAATATGCACACTGCATTTTACTTTCACCAAACTTCATAGAGCGCCCTGACCACACCAAGCTCTCCTGAAGTTTCTTGCCTTCACTTGTATTTTTCCCTCTGCCTGATGTGCCATATCCTCATCACCGCCCCCACCAACATAGTGTAATCTTCTCAGTTTCAAAATTAAGCTTATATCACCTCCTCTATGTACCTGTTTCTGACCTTGCAGTTGTCTGAAGACAATGCTATATTTGTTTAATATGACTCCCAAATACACTGTATACACTGTGGGCTCCGTAAATGTAGTCTCCCTGTTCTTTCTACTTTTATATCCCCAGAGCCTAGCTCAGTGTTTGCTAAGTGAATAAAAGAATGAAACTCTGATATGAGCTGTACAATGTCTCTCTAGAAGCATCTGGAATTTGGCATTAATAATATATTAAGTTGCTCTAATCTTCCAGAGTTTGGAACTAATTGAGAGATGGGACCAAGAAACAGGCATGTCAAAATCAAAATGTCAGCTTTGTTACAGTTAATAAAGGCTCGGCTGGGGGACATGATTTATGTGGCAAGAAGATATTTCTTAGTGGAACCCAAGAATTGGGCACAAGACCTTCTCAGTCAAGGCAGTTCTGGACAACCACAGGCCACCTTCCTATTTAGGTGCACTGTCTTGACCACTAAGTTTGTGGCATGAGCAAGCGTAGATCAGAACATCTGCATGTGGTCAGATCCAAAGAGGATGAGGACAAATGCTGATCCAGGCCTGTCTACTTTCTACTCCAAACCCATCAGTTAGTTAATTCAATCCTTCTCCCGCAGGAAACAATTGGCATAGGGGCAGATAAGCTAGAAGTGTTCTTTGAATGGATGTCTTACTGTAGGGGAACATTAAATTAGAGGAATGTAAGCTCCCCTGGTTGCCTTCCTATAGCACTTCCAACAGTTCTCTTTTCATATGTCTTTTCCCTGGCAATAGTACTGTGCTTTCCCCAGCTAGCAGAGCATAATTACAGAGTCACTGTTCCAGTTAATAGTTCATCCTCTCTGGTGAGCAACTGGCAGCGATCATCCAGCCTGTGGTCTCAGTCTTATAATATAAAACTAATACTTGATAACCTTAAACATTACAAATGATTCAGATACATAAAAGTAAACTTCGCTAAAACTTTCTCTCTCTTCCAACCTTCTCCCCTGGGTGGTGATAACTATTGTTTATGTATGTATCTCCAGACTTTAAAAATAGCCATTTATGAATGGTTAGGCATAAACATTTTTGAAATCACAAATACTTGACAACTGACAGACACTTTCACAATTCAATTTATATGCTTAACTAATTATTTTTTGCAAATCTCCCTGCCATTTTCTGGATACTTAGGTTGTTTCCAATTTTTCACTATACAAAGAAAAAAGATTCTATACAACCATCTCTCTTACTATTTCTGTAGGAGAATTCTTATAAGTAAAAGCTGAATCAAGTAATTTGTACATTATAATTCTGATGGATATTGCTGCATTGTGCTTTCAAAGTCTATACTAACAATATATCAAGTTCCCATTTCCTGAAACTTATGGATCCTGGATATTATAAAGCTTTCAAGTTTTTGCCAATCGAGTGGGTGAAACATATCTTATTGCTTTAATTTCCATTTCCTCTTTTGCTTATGATATTAAACATGATTCTGTATGGTTAGCAGTCTTCAGTACTTCCTCTTCTGCCAGTTCATAACTTTTGCCCAATTTCCTTTGGTAATTTAAGTTTTTATATGTTATGCATTTTAAATCTGTATCTGCTAAGTATGTGGCAAATAATTTTTTACAGAAATGGCTTTCTTTTCACTTTAATAGTTCATCTTTTGCTCACAGATTTTAGTGTCAACATTTTCATAGCCTAAATTCCTATGTCAACATCACTGTATTTTGTGTGTGTCTATTTTGTTCCCTTGACCTATTTGTGTATTCTTTGTATTATTTTAATTGTATAATAGCCACCTTTAATACAAATCTCTAATATTTATTGAGTCTCTAATATATGCTAAACACCATTCTTTTTTTTCACAACTACTTGTGCACTAATTACTCTTATTATCACCATTTTATATACCAGGAAACTGAGACCCAACGAGGTTAAGTAACTTGCTCAGGTTGCTGGGCTAAACAACAAGTTGAGCTGGGATGGAGCCCCAACATTCCTGATCCAAGGTCAATGTCGGTAAGCACTAGACCATGATTGCTTTCCGCAGGTTTATAGAATAATTTGAAATTTGAGGTGGCTCACGCCTGTAATCCCAGCACTTTGGGATGCCAAGGCAGGCAGATCACCTGAGGTCAGGAGTTCGCGACCAGTCTGGCCAACATGGTGAAACCCTGTCTCTACTAAAAATACAAAAATTAGCCAGGCATGGTGGTGCGCACCTGTGGTCCCGGGTACTCAGGCGGCTGAGGCAGCAGAATTGCTTGAACCTGAGAGGCGGAGTTGCAGTGAGCTGAGATCATGTCACTGTACTCCAGCCTGGGCAACAGAGTGAGACTCTGTCTCAAAATAATAATAATAATAATAATAATGCTTAGAAATTCTGAGAAAGTTGACCCTCAGTGTTTTTCTATCTCACACTTTTTATGCATTTACTTTTATAAGTAAATTTTATAATTATCTTAGGTTTCAAGATAATTCTGTTGGGATTTCACTAATTGCTTCAACATTTTATATTATTCTGATAAAGAAATGTCAGTGTTATGAACTGTGTTGTGTCCCACAATATTCCAAATTTTTATGTTGAATTGCTAACCCCCAGGACCTCAGAACGTGACTGTATTTGAAGATAGGGCTTTTAAAGAAGCAATTAAAATGAGGTAATTAGGGTGGCTCCTAATCCAATGGGACATTAGTCCTTATAAGGAGATAAAATTTAGACAAAGGTAGGTGCAGAGGAAAGACCAAGTGAAGACACAGAAAGATGATGGGCATTTACAAACCAAGGGGAGAGCCTCAGAAGAAACTCACCTTGCTGATACCTTGATCTTAGAGTTCTGCCTCCAGAACTGTGAGAAAATGAGTTTGTGTTGTTTATTCCCCCTTCCCCCATTCTGCGGTACTTTGTTACGGCAACCCTAGCAAACAAATATAGCCATCGTCATATTTTAGTATTTTTCCATGTAGGAAAATGTTGACTTTTTACTTATTCAGGCGTTTCCTAGGTTCTTCAGTTAGGTTTAAGTGTTTTCTTCAAGTATACATTAATATTTCTTGTTAACCTTATCTTTATTCACTGCTTTTTGTTGTTCTTGTGATTTAGATATGTTTTTTCTTGTATATATATGAATATATATACACACATAGGTACACACACACATACACACACATATTTTTAGAGAGGGGTCTGACTCCATCACCTAGGAGACAGTGCAGTGGCCCTGTCATCACTTCCCGTAACCTTGAACTCCTGGGCTCAAGCGATCCTCCCACCTCAGCTTCTCAAGTAGTAGTAGTAGTAGGCATATATCACTACACCTAGCTGATTTTTATTTCCCCTTTTGTTTATAATTTGATTTTGTATATTTACATTTTATCTAGCTACCTTACTGTACCTCTTATTAGTTTTAGCAGTTTTTCTATGTATTTATTTTTTCTTTTTTCGAGACAGAGTCTCACTCTGTGGCCCAGGCTGGAGTGCAGTGGCTTGATCTCAGCTCACTGCAACCTCTGCCTCCCAGGTTCAAGCAATTCTCTTGCCTCAGCCTCCTGAGTAGCTAAGATTACAGGTTCATGCCACCACACCCGGCTAATTTTTCTATTTTTAGTAGAACGGGGTTTCGCCATGTTGACCAGGCTGGTCTCAAACTCGTGACCACAGGTAATCCGCCCACCTCGGCCTTCCAAAGTGCTGGGATTACAGCGTGAGCCACTGCTCCAGGCCAGTTTTAGCAGTTTTTCAAGTGATTGTCTTGGATATTTTGGGCAGGCAAATATATGTAATATGCAGATAAAGGCAGTTTTGTTTTGTTTCTTTCCTTCCAGTACATAAATTTCATTCTTATTTTAATGCATTGACAGGAATGCTCCAGGATTAGCTTGAAAAATAATAAAGATAGTGAGCATACTTGCCTAGTTCCTGACTTTATTTGGTGATGCTTAACTATGGTATTTGTAACAGATTTTGATATAATTTTCAAGTTTTTAGAACTTTTCTAGGGCTCTTTATTCTCTTTTTATCAGCAAAAGGAATTGTACGAACTGCTTTACCAGCAGCTTACAAAATAATTCTATGGGTTTTTCTCTTTTTATATGTTAAGAGAGTGAATTACATGGCTAGATTTCTAAATTTAAATCATCTTTAGTTTCCAAAAATAAACCTGTTTGTTCATTGTGTGTTCTTCTTATAATTTGCTACTGGGCTTGAAATATTAACATTCTATTCATGAATTATTTTTAGAAAGTGTGTGCCTGCGGTGAAACCCCATCTCTACTAAAAATACAAAAAATTAGCCACACACACATACACACACACAAACTCTGGAGTCTCTATTACTTCCCAATGATACTTGTTTATACTAAAAACTCAATTTTTTCTGTTTATTTTCCATATTTTTGTTACTGATCTCTTTGGGAGTTATCTGTTGACTGTGAATTTACTGAATTTGAAAACTGAGATTATGCCCAATAAGGATTTTCATTTATGAATTAATTGGTTCCTGAATTTTTCAAATAAAGCACAAATCTGATGGTTATACTGCAAGTTGCCCTGCAGGTCTTTCTCCAGAAGAAATGTGATGATTTAAAGGGATAATGCCTGTTCGATGAAATTGGCCATTTCAAAATTCTTCCCCTCACGTGTCATCTTATTTCAGTTGTTATTATATTCAGAGCCTTGCATGTCCACTTAATAGCACTGTGCAGAAAAACAGTTCCAAGTAAATACAGTAATGTTCATCATTTGTTTCTTAAGAGAGTCAAAGTGACTAGTTTAAGTAATAGAAATTCATAATTATAGGGGGAGAAAAGTTTTCTTTTGCTACTTTAGTATAATTAATAGCAGAATGAGTAGCATTACATAAAAAATTAAAGACATAAAAATGGCACATAGGTTTTACTACTTTTTAAATATATTTATTGAATGATCTAGACCTATTCTTCATTGAACTCACACTGAATAGGGTCATTTAGGTATAAGAGGAACTGTCATCTTTTTGGTTTTGTAAAACCAGTATCCGTTGGAGGTAGATCTTTTTAGAATGTATGTATTACAGTTCTGCTATTACTGGGCCGTCAGATGCAATTTGGCACAGCACGATATTTCCACAGTTGCTCCACGTTAACAGTGATTGTAGAACCCTTAGTGATTGGCTAAGGTTATTTTTAAACCTAATTCTAGATAACTCAGAGAAGTGCTGTTCTGTATTCCACATGGTAATCTCAGCAACATTTGGCATCGAGGATTTATTGCATACCATAACTCCGGCTTCACTGTGAATCTCTTTTACCATCAAACACTGGAAATAGAACCTCACAGCAAAGGGAGGGCCATGCTATTTTCATTAGAAAGATCACACCTTATTCACTTAGGAGTTCTCTGTTGCATGATATAATTTGTTTTCTTACTTGTTTATTGAGGAAAACATCTTTGCATCCATAAACCTTTGATGTAATTGACCACCTCCATCTCAGATGTTAGGTTCTGTCATTGTGAAACCACCCTATATGTAAGTTTCTGGGAAATTCTTGGGAGAACTCTGTATTCGTTTAACTTGATGGCAAAACAGTAACATGCTAAATAATGTGATTAAAGTTGTTAAAAGCCAAAATAAACACTTATAATTATCTCAAGAAAAACGGTGTCGGGCAAGTGCAGGCTCTATAAAGTGGGACTCCGTGAGCGTCTTTCAGGTCCTGCTGCACAATAGATCATAGTTAAAGGTCTGTTAACAGACCTCTGACGGCTGAGCTGGGTAGCTTGCGGTTTCCTTCGAAACCTATTGGCATAATGTGAATTTATGTGTGAGGTGCAAATTGGAAGTTGCTTTCTACTGGTGCCCGTGGCAGAACAGAAATCATACTGTAGGGCTAGCAGCAGGAAGTACATGGCTTTGAAATTACGCAGCAGGGTTTCTGCTCGCTGCCCTTGTTGGTTCTGAGACAGGGGCCTTATATTGTCTGGTCATGATTAAAATCAAAGTGTAGGCTTCTTTGCTGGGTGCCAGTAAACTTAGGTGAAAAGCAGAAACAATCTGGGGTTTTAATTATTTTAAAATGCAATGTAGTCAAGAAAAGAAGATGAAAGCATTTTTGACTAATCTATCCCAATTATTCCACATAAACGAATTTGCCAAAAAAGAGGCCCATAGAGAGAGTAAGCTTGCCTTTACAAGAGACTTCATAACATATCTCACAGCTATAAAATAGATATATGGCACGTATGCTGTTCTTCTGAAACTCATCGAGAAAAGTGCCTGAGGATTATGATACTTTTGGGTGAGTAGAGAAAGACAGATGTGCTTTTTACCTTATTCCAAATACAAGATGTTACATATTTATGAAATAAGCCTTTAAAGCATGGAAGATAATTTCCTGGTAAATTACTTACTGACTTGAAGTAGTCCATCTAGAAGGCGCTATCTTGGCGTTATGCTTAAGATTTGCCTCAGTCCGCAGTCAGGTTGGACAGATACTTCCCATTGTGCTGTAATTCCCAGAGGTGGCAGAGTTGGATCTTCTGTCTTCAACTTCTTTTTCCATGAAGAGTATAAAGAGATGAGTCATAGGCTCAGAGTTCACTGTCTCTAATAATCTTGGAGAAAGTCAATAATAAGATATAGGAAGTGCAAACTCAGTATTATATGGTACCAAACAGTTATTAAATAAACAGTAGTCACAACCAGAAGTTAATATGTAGGTTTGTTTGTTTGTTTTTCAAAAAAGTACCCAACGTGTAAGTGGTGGGAGTTTATGCATTAAGTTAACAAATATGTATTGAGTGCCTGCTATGTGGTAGGCACTGTGATAAAGACTGGCGATATAAAGGTAGACCAGATTTTCAAGGGACGATAGAGAAATAAACAATTATTTACACCTGTTACTCTGGAGACTGACAAGGGCCAAGCTAAGGAAGTACATGTGCTGAGGTGCTAACCTGTAGTTATTACCTACCCCACAGCTGGTGCTCAGCCACAAAGAGAGATGTGAATATTAAATTTCTATCATAATTGGCATATATGAACTTTTTTAAAGACATAAGAAGGGGAAAAATCTATTGCTTTGATTGAAAGGTTGGAAGTACTTTTAGGAAAATTGATTAGGGAGGTCCATTTCTTTCCTTTAAATTTTTATTTGCAGTCAATTTATTATCATACCTCAAGCCATTTAGCCATAGCAAAGAACAGGTGTGTAGAAACTCTACAAAACCTCAGAGAATCCTGTGGTCCCCTGAAAAAGGTCTGTGTCTTATCCGATGAACACCGCTCAGGCTTAAGTCTCTCTAGCTGTCAAAACTGCTCAAGCAAGGGGGAAATCTAGATTTTATATCTCCTTCCACTTGAATTTCGGGATAGGAAGGAGAGAAATCAGCAAAATCCAGTTACGTTAAATAGCTTTTATGAGTATCTTTTTGGAATGCTGGCAGTTTTAACTTCATTTTTGTTTGCCAGGTATAACCATGGAAGATTAAAGTTGCTCCTGGCTGTAAGAAGTTAATGTGGAATTTTGCTGCTTGAAATTTAAATCGGCTTACAAAAATTAGCTCCCACTGGTGGAAACGTCTTTCTTCTTAGTATGAGAAGTTGTTTGAAGCTTTTTTCTCTCTCAAAGTCTCATCTTGATCAGGCTTTAATATTGCTCTCAAACCAACCTTTAATTTAATAAGCAGAGTAATTTTGTTGGGGAAATTTTTCCATGACATTTGTTGAATTAAATGTACATACTCAGTATTCCATCCCAGCAGCACCACCTATTGTTGTCTTGTAGCTCTTCTACTAAACTTCACAAGAATCTAATTCACTCATTTCTCTGGGTATCTCTGTGAGATACTCAACATACATTTTACAGGTTATAAGGTTAAGCATCCCAGTCGTGGTGATGTTTCTAAAGTCATAAATCTGTAAATAAAATGAATGCAGGACAGTAGACTTTTAATTGGTGAAAGGACACTGAATAGAGAGATGACATGCTTATAAAATATTTATGGATATTAAAAAATGTTTGGCAAATAAGATTCAAGTTATACCTGTATGTTTTAAAAGTTCTACTAGCTATGTACTGTGATTCTACAATTAACAGCAGAATTGTATTGGAATAAGATAACAGAGACTAAATGATATTCTTTTGTGCCTACTGCTATTGTACTTAGAATATTATGTATTGATTTATTGAATATAAGTGGCTTTTTTTCCAGTGGGGTTTTAAAATCCACTTATAATAAAAACAAATAGGATTTACATTTACAGGTAGAAAACGAAAATCCGGAAGTGTGCAAATGGGGTCCACTATGGAATTTTTTCAGCATTATTTCCAGAAGAGAGGTAGGATTGGGAATTTTAGTCTTTATTTGATATTTACATGCACTTATATGAATGTGAGTCATTGCCTGTGTTTTCTGTAAGCCATCTTTACTTCATGTAAACCATGTAAAATGCTAAAAAACTTTTTAGGAAGAATATAATAAACAACATACGGAGATGGAGTATTTTCACACATATTATGTCATTTGATCTTCCTTGCAATTCTCTAAGGTAGGTAAGGTGGCTTTGGATCCTTGGCCTCTTCTTTTCTCACTATGCACATTCTTGAAATTTCATCTGCTTCTATAGATTCAATTACCAACTGTACACTGATCATTTCAAAATTTGTACCTATGTTCCTTACATCTCTCCCAACCTCTAGAAAAAAATGTATACATCTAGAACTTCCACAAGCATCTAAAACTCAAAACAAACTTGTTTCCTACAAAAACGATGCATCTTCCTATACTCCTTATCTTGGTGAATGCCCTACCATCTGCCTAGTTGCCCAAGCCAGGGATCTAGAAGTTATCTTAGACTCTCCCCTCTTGCTTGTCCTCTTCACTCACTCAGTTAAGACTGTTACATTTCCTCAGTATCTCTGAATTCCACCCTGTTTTGTTCAGGCCCTATCATTTCTCACCTGGCTCATTATAATACCTCTTACAACTACTAATTTGACATTCTCTGCTGTTAGAGAGACCTTTCTAAGATTTAAGACTCTTAGTAAAATACTTCATGGATGGTTTCTCATTACTTTTATGATGAAGTACAATTTTTAAACAAATAATATGATGCCACTTAAAATATATGACCCATGAGAAATTTCCCAGTTTCCTATCTTATCTCTTCCTGATCATACTCAATGTTCTTACCAAATAGATGTTTCATTCTCCCAAAGTGGCAGTCCTAAGGATGATTCTTTATTTGAAAATCTATTAATGTAAGTCATCTTATGATTAGAAATAAGGAGCCAAATCCTATAATCATCTACATAGATGCTGAATGACATTTGAAAAAAATTAATACCCATTCATGTTAAAAACAACAAATTAGGAATTGATAGATAATTTAATATGATAGTACATATAATCATCAGAGCAAAATGAACATCTTAACTGATGAGGAACAGAAAGTCAATACCAGGAAAGGACAGTGGGTATCTTAATTGTTATTTAGTTTTGAATCGAAAGTATTAGCCAATGTTATTAGACAACAGAAATTGGAGGCATGAGTATTGGAAATGAAGAGATTAAACTACCTCTATTGCAGATGTTATGATTATATATCTTGAAAACCAAAAATAATCTGTGAAAAACTACAAATAGGAGAACTTAATAAAATAGCCAGATAGATAACTAACATAAAAATCAATAGTTTTTTTTTTTTTGTGGGAAATCAATAGTCTTACTGTTTATGTATAATGGAGAAGTAGACTCCATACATGATAACAAATAAAATAGAATAAAAGGGAAAACACAAAATAAAATTCCTAGGCATAAAACTATATAAATGTTTAAAACTTATATGAGGAAAACTACAAACATGCCTGAGAGACATAAATATGGCCTTAAACAGAAAGATATAACATTAGTCATGGCAAGCTGACTCAGCCTTATAAGCATGTTAATTCTTCCTAAATTAGTTATTCATATAATTCAATTCCAATAAAAATAGCAGAAGTTTTTTCCCCTCTGGAGCTACACAAATTGGTTATAAAGTTCATATGGAAGAATAAACATGCAATACTAATCAGGAAATTTCCTAAGAAGACAGGCAATGCATTTCTTTTTCTAAAATATATTATAAAGCCTCTATAATTAAAAGGTTGTGGTATGGGTACATGAGTAGACAGAAAGACCAATGGAACCACACAGAAAATCTGGTAAAGCAACTGAAATACAATATTGATAAAGATAACCTCTCATAATAGAGGGAAAGTGTGTTTTTAATCAGTAAATGGCTTTGGAACACCTGGATAACCATATGAGAAAAAGATGAAATTACATCCATTTATCACACCATATGGTAGACATCCAAATGGATCAGAGATCTAAATGCACAAAATATTTCAGAAGCAATAAGGAAAAGAGTGATAAATTTGGCACAGAGTAATATTCTGAACACATAAAATGCTTCAAAGAATTGAGAAAAAAAGGCCAAAACCTTATAGAAAATGGGAGAAAGACACAGATAGTTCTCAGAAAAAGAAATAAAAATGACCCTCACACATAGGAAAATATACTGAATATATGAGAAATGCAAATTGAAACTACACTGAAATAACACTTCTCACCTACCTGACTGGCAGAGATCCCTATACTCTGTTGTAGAGGTTTTGATGAAATAAGTATGCAAAGTGGTATCAGCTTCAAAGGGGTTGGGGGCGGGAGGATTTAGCGTTATTGAGCAAAACTGCATATACATTTACTCTTCAGTCCTGCAACATGACTTCTAGGAATCTGTTCTAAAAATGCAAATTGACATATGGTCAAGACTGTTCCTCATAGAATTACTTATAATACTAAAAGATGAAATAGCTTAAATATTGATAAAGGACTGGTTTAATAAACTGGAGTACATTCACACGTGGAACACAGGCCCTTTAGTGCTTAACAAAGGTGTCTGAAATGCTTGTTATTTTCATTATATTAAAAGGAGTAATTAGAGTGGTTATCTATCAACCTAAAAGCCTCAACCAATTTCCTAAAACACAGTGAATAACTTATATATGTAATAAATGATCATGTGAAGATGTAAAATGCCTAAAAAATCCACCTCCTAATAACCAATTACTATAGTTGTTAACAGTCACCTTATATGGCGACTTCCGGGAAAGTGCCTTTCCTCACCTTCAGCAGCAGCCTTCCTGAAGCATTTGCCCTTTTGAAAGTCCTTGTAGGCTTTACCATTTTGACAACTGTGTATGGAGATTCAAGACTTTATCTGACATAATTTTGTTTAAAAAGTTATATTGAGGTTTGAGGACACAAATACGTATTCTACCTGTATTAACTGGCCAAAAAATAAAGTTGTATTGGATAGATGTCTGTGTGTTTGAATGCTAAAACTTTCAGTTTGGGATACTAAAAATCGAAAGGCAGAAAATAATAGCGGGGGATGTTCTGCAGGGCATATGATATGATTCATCATAGAGTAGAATCAGAGAGATTTCTGTATGCTCCTTTTGAATGACATTCATAATTCATCTTTAATGGAAAAAACTAAGGTGTAGAACAGCGTGTAGAGTGAGCTACTTTTTGTGTAAGAGAGGGTCAAGGAGTGATAAAAGTGTATATATAGCATTTTCTCACATTTTCAAAAGAATTAGCATGAGGTTTCCAATAAGGCAGAGATGACTTTGAAGCTATGTAATGTTTTACATTACTGTTTTACATAACTGAAAAATCAAAATGAAAATCAAATTAAATCAAGAGACTAAAGAATCTAAAGTCATACAGAAGGGGTGCCGTAAAGTTGGAGCTCTTCTGAGGAGTGGGCACTGCCTGGCAAGGGCTGCACCTCTGAAAGTACAATGAAGCTGGTTTTGGGGCTCTTGCAAAATGGGCTGGAGACTGGAATCACATTCCAGGGTGAAGGATGGTTACTGAGGCAACAAAAGGAGACAGCCTGCAAATGAGAACAAGTCCTTTCTCCCTCCTTCTGCCGTTCAGTCTCTCTAGCGCCCCCTCTTGGCAGATCCTAAAGAAAGCTGGTTGCAATGCAGAAACTGGAGCTGCAAGGTCCCGCAAGCAGGAAGAAAGGGTTTGGGGCTGGGGGACAGCAGCTTAGTACTAACATGATTGGTAAAAGTGAAGGCCAAGAGTTTACTTGTGACGGGGAGAATTTACAAGGACGCTCTAGGAACCAAATGACACTGTAACACAAGGTTTTTCAGTACCATTGAAGGCTGACACGTTGCGCAAAATGACTTCAAATGAGATAATGCAAGTGAAATGGCCTCAGATTTATACAGTGCCATGCAAGTAGGTAAAATCAGTGTTAATGTTGATGCTTTAATTTCACTTTTAACTATGATGGGGATATTTGATAAAAGAAAATTTGTGAAGCCAGAGATAATCATGAGATAAATTATGAAAAGATGTTTATTAGTTTTAGAAACAGAAATAATAGTTTGCTTTACTTTCCCTAACTGAGGCAATTTTATTTTAATTTGGAGGTTTTCAAAAGGATACACACTTTTATTGGTTTTTTCTGTCATAACTTAGAGTTTTGTGGATCTTTGCAAAAATTCGAATTAAATTTTCTTTAATGATGTGTCTATATGTTATACATTGACTACACAAAAGCACAGAATTACTGTGCTATATCATTACATTACTGATTTTATTAATGTGTGTCTCTGTAGTGTAATAATTTTTGCATTTATTCATTCATTAAAGATAATCATAACTAATACAATTACAATTTCATTTTAAAGTCGTTATTCATGGTCATCAATTTAAAGATAAGACTGAAATTATGTTGATAAGTTCATAAACTGATGGCTGGAGGCCAATCAGATTGCTTCATGTTCCCAAATTATTTTATAACTACGTTACTTATGGTTAACATGTTGATGTGTAACAAAGATTCTGGAATTCAAGTCATGCTAGAAGAGCTGTGAGTCACTGTTCATTTTTAAATGTCTCATATAGACAAAGAAAAGGTGTGTAAAACTATTTCATGAGTTTAATTAACAAGATTATAGATATTGCATACACTTGTAAATAGAGAAGAGCAATCTGCAAAAAGAACAAAATAATTCTGATGCTTTATAAAAAATAGCATAACTAAATTTAAGAAAAAGTAAGTGATCATTGATAAGCTAGAATATTAGAATAGGAGTTTCAGAAACGGTCGTTTGTTTGGGGAACCAAAATAATTGTAACCAGGCCAGATGACATGCTTATAGGTTTCCAGGGGAAACAGAAACTTACCTCAAATAAAAAGTTGCAAGTGGTCAATGTAATTAAAAAAGAAAAATAGTGAAATTATCCAAGAACAAGATGGGGCTTGGTGTAGGAAAACAGCCTTTAATTCACATATAAGAGTAATATGCAAAGGGAATACACCACTTTTAATTGAAAACTGAAATCAATTGAAAGCATTTCAGCTGAAAACACATCAAGTATCTGTACCATTGTTATTCCATCTGCAGAATGTAGTTATAAAAATGTTTTCAACTATTTTTTCAGTAAATATTTATTATCTATCTATCTATCTATCTATCTATCTATCTATCTATCTATCTATTGAGACAAGGTCTGCCATGTTGCCCAGGTTGGTCTCGAACTCCCGGGCTCAAATGATCCTCCTGTCTTGGCCTCCCAAAGTGCTGGGATTGCAGGTGTGAGTCACTGTGCTGGGCCTTGAGTATCTATTTAATGTGTAAGATACTGTGCTAGGCACCAACAGCACAGGCAAAGGTTAGCAAGGAATTGTCAAAGAGCTTATAATCTGACAATGTGGATAAAAGAAATATGCACACAGTTTGAAAGCAAAATATAAAGTGTCAAGGGCTGTAAAAGCAATACAAACACAACATTTTGGAAGATCAATGGAAGGAAAAGAGCATATTCAATTGGAAAGATCAGGAAAAGCTTCATGAAGGAGAGAACATGGGAGAACAAGCACTTTCACAGGCTGGGTAATAGAGATAAATAAAAATAGTACAAGTGACATCTATTTTGTGCTAGATACTGTCTTAAGAATTTATGTATATGATGTCATTTAATCCTCAAGACAACCACAGAAGGTAGTGCTCATATTATCACTATTCCACAAATGAGGCTTAGAGAGGTTAATTTTCCCCAGTTCACACAGTTACTGGTAAATCCATAATTTAGAACCGTATCTGCCTAACTCCAGAGCCTAAACCTTACTTACTATATTATACTCCTTTGTAAAGAAGAATAGTCTATAAAAGTGAAAACTGAAAACCCTACATCTATAGTTTATTTATTTGCTTATTTATTATTATTTTTATTATTTTTAACTCTTTTAGAGATGGGGTCTCACTATGTTGCCCACGTTCACTTCAAATTTCTGAGCTCAAGCAGTCCTCCTGCCTCAGTCTCCTGAGTAGCTGGGACTACGTGGGTGTACCAACATACATCTATATATTATAACAGTTATATTTAACATGACACTTATATTTTGGTAAAATGGTGATTTAAAAGTTAATATTGGTAGGAATATGATAAAATGTATATTCTCTCATTCAGTTGTAAAGCAAATACAAAATTGCGCATGCATTTGTTATAGCAGACTCAGCATACGGTAGATTATCAGTAAATGTTGGATAAATGAATAAATAAGGTAGAAAATCTGTATGCATGTGGACAAAGATTAGGAGACTGACATGTTAAAATGATTAGTTGCAATAGGATTGTGAGACTTTGAGGCCTAGTCCTCTTTCAGTCATCTTTTATTTTGTATATGGTCAGATCATCCGGGTTTGAAGCCTGTTGTTTATTTACTTTTCACTAACAAAGGACTAATGAGTTCAACCTAAAAGGACAGATGAATCAGTCTGTGATATCAATAATTGGTAGAGAGTTCTTTTGCAGAATATCCACCAACATGTGCAGTTTCTGAATAGTTAAAAAAATTTTATTTTTTCAGTAATGAGGAATATGAATCAGAGAAAATGATGCATATATATCATAGCTTAGGCATGCACGATTGAGACCAGATGAGGCAGCAATAGTTTACATGTTGACTTATTTCTTTAATTTCCCAAAATTGAAGTCTTATTAATCATTTGCTAGTTCTATGTAATGGTACATTCTTCAAATCATACCTAATGATAATAACAGGAGAAATGATAAATGAAAATGGTCAAAGCATTCAATAACATGTTGCTGTTATAGGAAGATTTTGAAATAGAATTTAGCATGTTGTAGGATTTTTCCTTTAACTAGACTAAAATACACTTTATTGATTTAGGTAGAAGGAACTATTAAATATTGTATACAAATTGCTTTATACTTATTTCATTAGGAAACAACATTAATATACATATATGTACACATACACGTATAGTTACCAGTGAAGTTGATTAACTTTTAGGTCTGGAGCACCATTTTTCTTTTCATTAAAAAAGGCAACACTAACCACATTTGGATGTGTTGGATCAACCTATTTATTGATTTACCAAGAAGCTGTCAAGATTTTTTTTTTTTTTTTTAAAGCAGCATCTCGCTCTGTTCCCCAGGCTGGAGTGCAGTGGTTCAATCATGACTTATTGCAGCCTCAACCTCTCAGGCTCAAGTGATCTTCTCACTTCAGCTTCCAGAATAGCTGAGACTACAAGCACACACTTCAGGGAACGCACCTCCATGCCTGGCTAATTTTTTTAAGAAAAATTTTGCAGAGATATGGTCTCACTATGTTGTATAGGCTGAACTTGAACTTCAGAGCTCAAGCAATCCTCTTGCCTCAGCCTCCCAAAGTGCTGAGATTAGAGGAATAAGCCACCGTGCCCAACCTGAATCTGTCAGTTTTACATGCGACCTAGAGCAAGAGAAGGCTCTGCAGCAGGTCTAGGCTGAAGAACAAGGTACTCTGTTACTTGGGCTTTATGATTAGGCAGATCCAATGGCACCCAAACTGTCTTTGGCAAAAAGAATGTTGTATGCAGCCCCTGACATCCTTCAGTGGAAGACCACTAGGGCTTTGGAAACAAATCAGTTTTATCTTTGAGAAACGGCTCCTGTCCCTGACTTGCTACTAGTCCTTGTTGACATTGAATATCTGGCTAAGATGGCACAAGTGAACATTTGACCTGAACTGTCCATCTGATCCAAAATATCATAGGGTTGGGTTTGTTTAGAAGCACCCAATTTTCAAGTGGTGGTGGTATACAAGATACAGGGCTCAAGAAGTTACTGAGGGCACAATAGGTGGTCTGAGCAGGTGGCTCTCATTATCTTGGTGTCTATTTCTGCTGCTCTGATCTCTTACCCCCAACCCATACGTGGTCTCATGGGAAGTTTTCTTTCATCGGTTGACTAAGAAGACAGAAATTCAAGTGTAGTTTAT